TATTATTATTATTATTATTATTATTAATAAAGAATGGGCGTGAAAATCATTTTGGTATTACGTCTGTCTGTATAATATGTATTATGTATACATATGTTTATATACCTACATAATAATAAATAAAAAAGCGACCTTTGCAGTTTCAGGTTTTAGTTTGTTGTTGATGTTGCTATGAATTGAGTGTAACAAAGAGAGAAAATCGCCTAATACACAAAACACAAAAATTGAGAATAAAAAACATTATTACCTAAAAAATAAGACTTTTCTCGCTATTTTCTAATGTTTACGAGAAAAAGTGGCTTTTTTAACGACAAACATAGAAAATTGTAAAAAAAATGGATAACTTGTTAAGAAATATTCTCCGTCCAAAATCTATGCGTTCATTTTAGGTGACGTCTGTGAATGAAGAACGTACATTTTACATAACATTCTTGTAAGCATTTAGAACCACGGTTTTGCCTATTTTTCGGGCTTATTCGATTTTGCAATCTGTTTGTATATTTATTTCCTTTTAACTGGAAGATTGAAGATTGCTTGTTTAAATAATTCTTCATTATAAACAAAAGTATAACGAGAATGAAATATTAAGTAAAGCAAAACTGTTACAATAAGTGCATACTCTTCAAATTGATGGGTCCTCTCGCTGTCTCTTGTGGTCATTCCTTGATAACGTTAAAATTTTTTCTGGTGGTCAGATTACTTACAGATTTTTTTTGAAGGATTTTACAGACCAAAATTTATTAGAGTTTGTCTCCTGCAGATCTGTGACAATTTCTGTCGTTGCTAAATTTTAAAGGCAACGTAATATTCCTAGCGTTAGATACTCTTATAATCGACAAAAATAACCACAATATAATAGAATGAAAAAATTACTATGCATCAATCCGCAAATTTAACATCTACACTTCTCCAGAATGAAGTCAGTATTTCGGACCAACTTGGTAAACTAGAGTCCAGGACAGAAGATATGGACGAAGATATACAAAACGCACGTTAGAGCACACCCATTCTTCCTTGGTGACCACTTGACCACTAGCGCCACCATCGGTATTGTGCTTTTCGTATGGTTCACGCTCAATTTCGCGTCGGAAAAATCCCAACGCTCAATTTCTCGCCGACTACCGTAGTAATAAAAAATCCGATACAACTGAATACCGAACGATCCTCGAGATCTTCGCACATACATCATTTTTACAACACACCTTAAGGGATTGATTCTGTCCCACCGGATCAGCATAGCTTGTAAAACAAATTTTTGACTCGGCATTAGTTTTACTTTTATTCGAGGTGCATACATACAAATTTCATGTAATTTGGCTCATAACTAACAGAGATGTCAAAAAATCGGATTACGCATGCGCAAAACAATTTTTTTTATTGGCATCAGTTTTACTTTTATTTGAGGTGGCCACATAAAGAATTTCATTTAAATATCTTAACAAATAGAAAATTTGAAATTGCGCATGCGCAAACCAAATTTTTTTATCGTCATCAGTTTTACTTTTTGAGGTGCCTACGTACAAAATTTCATCCAATTCGGTTCATAACTAAAGGAGACAGAC